ATAGATTCAGAGGAAGTTACCAAAAATAAATGTACAGGGTGGTTCCATKCATTTAAAAAATCATTGATAAATGGTTTATTAGGAGTTCAAGATATACAGTACACGAGAAACATATTTTTAGCTTATCATTRTGTTGTCAAGGTAATGACAGACATACCAAATGAAGGATGGATTGATGGACTTTGTTTAGCGTGTCTCTCCCAACTTCTGGGCTTGATATGCTTGATATTAGTTATCTATTGCTGTGTGATGAATTCCTCTAGATATGACAGCTAAAAAAATTAACATTTATTATCTTATGGCTTCCTTGGGTCAGGAATCTGAGAATAGCTTAAGTAGTTGGTTCTGACTCAATTAGGTATTGAGCAAAGATGCTGTCATCTTAAGGCTCCACAGGGAAAAACTTTTGTCTAAGTTCATTCACACAGTTATACCCAGACCTCAGGAAACACATTTCCAAATTCACATGGGCTTCACAATGACTGACAACTGGCTTCCTTCAGAGTCAGTGATATAAGAGAGAACCACAGAACGYTCCAAAGATGTAATCCAGAGTCTTTTTATAAACTAATCTCCTTAGTGAAATCTCATCATGCTGTATTATATTCATTAGAAGAACTCAATAAGTTCAGTCCACATTTAAAGTGAAATAGTTACTGTAGGGCATACTAGAAGGTGGGGGGTCACCAGGCCCATTATAGAGGCTGCTTACACATGCACATGTAGGCCCTCAAATTCTATTTTTAAAATTTTATTTATTTTTTGTTCTCTTTAGTTATATATGAAAGTAGAGTATAATTTAATTTATTTATACAAACTTGTAGTATATCTTATTCTAACTAGTATCCCAGTCTTGTAGTTGTATATGGTGTAGAGATTCACGGTGGTGTATTTATGTATGTACATAGGAAACTTATGTCAGAATCATTCCACTGTCTTTCCTATTTCTGTCCCCCTCCCTTCCCTTCATTCCCCTTTGTCTAATCTACTGAACTTCTATTCTTCCCCTCCCCCCTTGTTGTGTGTTAGCATCCACATATTCAACTTTTGTACTCTTTACTCAGTTTTCCCCAATGGAGACTGCATAACTACAGTACAATATCAAAACCAGGAAACTCATTACTTTCCTATGCTCATATACAACCAGAAGAATGGGAGGTTGTACTCTATGTATGTATGTGTACTATGTCAAAATACATTCTACTGTCATGTATAACTAAAAAGAACAAATAAAAAACTCAGGAAATTGACCTATTGACCTTGGTACAATTCACAGAGCTTATTATTACATGCACTTATGTGTGTGTATATATATATATATACACACACACACACATTATATATATACACATATATATCTCATTATATCAATTTTATCACACATGTAGATTTGTACAACCTCCACTACCATCAAGATACAGAATTGTTCCATTATCACACAGCTCCCTCTAAAGTACTATCCTCTTTAGCTATGTCTACTATCTTCACTTCATTCCTAATCTTTGGCAACCACTAATATGTTTTAAAATTCTAATTTTATTTCAACGATGGCATATATATGGGATTATACAGTATGTGTTCTTTTTTGGGATTGGCTTTCCCTCCATCGTTTCCTTGAGATCTATGCAAGTTGTTTTGCATCAATAAATTCATTCCTTCTGGTTACTTCATAGTATTTCATGGTGTGGATGTACCACGGTTTGTTTAGACAGTCATCCCATGAAGGCCTTTTGTGTTGTTTCTGGGTTTTAGCTATTGTGGACATTGTTGTATGAGGTTTATGTGAACATGAGTTTTCATTTATATTAAATAATTGTCCAATAGTGAAATTGCCAGGCCATATGGAAGATGCATGTTTAGTTTTGTAAGAAACTGCAAATTGTTTTCCAGATTGTCTGTACCACTTTACATCCTTACCAATTATATATGAATGATTGGTTTCTCCACACAGCTGCCAGCATTTGTTATTGTCACCATTTAGGCTATTCTAGTTAATTTTATAGTTGTGATTTTTTTTTCCATTTTAGCCATTCTGCTAGGTATGTAGTTGTTAGATTTCACTGTGGTTTTAATTTGCCTTTCCCTGGTAGCTAACGTTATTGGATATCTTTTCTGTGTACTTTTAACCATCTGTATATACTCTTAGATAAAATATCTCTTCATATATTTTTCACATATTCTAATTGGATTGGTTTTTTTGCTCTTGAGTATGGAGAATTCTTTATCGAAGGCTCAAGGGCTTTGGTAGGTATGGAATTTGTAAATATTTTCTTACAAAACTATTAGCTTGTCATCCGTCCTCTCAATAGGGTCTTTGGTAAAGAAAAATTTTTGAAATTTAGTTGAGGCTCAAAATACTGCTTTTTATTCTTTTGTGGGTCATGCTTTTGATGTCTGAGTACTCTTTCCCTAGCTCTAGTTTAAACATTTCCCTAAATTTTTTCTAATTCTATGTATAGTTATACATTTGAGCCCATGATCCATTTTGGGTTAATTTTTATATCCGGTTCACACCTGAGTTTGAGAATTTGGGGAGGTATTTATTTATTTATTTATTTATTTATTTATTATTACTGATACCTGAACACCCAGGCATATGTATGCTTGTGTTCCCATTTTTTACTTTTCTATGTTTTTAGACATTATTTCATGTTTACCTTAAATTTCACTCCTTTCACTCTTTCATTAGGACTTTTGCAGTCATTTTGCACAGTATCAATTATATGACATCGTTGAATTTTTGCTGCTATATTTATTGAAAGAATGTAATTACATAGGTATCCTTTATTATTGACTTGAATTATGCTGATAATATGTCAGTATGGTTGTTATTCCCAATATATTGTTAGTCTACAGAGAGGAGGGAGCATGTCTTTTTTTTTTCTCTTTATTCCTTGTAGCACCTAGCCCCAAAGCTTTGCAGGTAGTAAGGATTCAATGAATTGAATAGAATGAAATCAAAATGAATTGATTCTATACCACATATATATTTACTAAAGGAGGGACATGTCTCCTCTTTCTGTGTTTAGATGCAATATAAAAAGATTTTTTTAAAAGGTAAAACTGAGTGAAAGGGATAGTAACATCCTAATTGGGTGGCTCCCTGTAACTTTCACCTGTACCTATGTAGGCTGGAACCTATTTAGGTGGGTTGACAAAATCAGGATGGCAGCTTGGACTACTCAGTGCCAGTGTATGTGGTGAATTCCAGGACACTGTGGAAGGTGTACTGATGATGTTGATGATGATGATGATTATTATTATTATTTGGTGCTGGTATTGAACCTGGGGCCTGTGCATGCTAGAAAAGCACTCTACCACTGAGAGACCTCCCAAGCCTACTGCTGATTTGTAATATCTTTCCATTTCATTTGGTTCTGATTCCACTTAAAGCATAGCCTGCTCCCCAATAGTTAGAACTTTGAAATCACACACACACACACACACACACACACACACACACAACATACAGCAACATATCTACACAAATGCATTTACATATAAAACACACATGCCTATATACAGTATACACATACAAAATATTTATATATTTCCACCTAGTGGTAGAAACTAATACTTAGAAATATCATTTTAGAAACCATATATTTTTGTGTATTTGTAATTGCTATTTTTCTTGCTGTTTCGTCACAGTAGCTCCAAGTTCTACCTTTTAGAAATATCTTTTGTATGTGTTATCTACTTTTAGATGCCCATTCATTAATTATTCCTGAACACTATGGTMATTTCATTTTGGTTACCAAAGACCCAGAATTAAGTTGATAATAGGGGTATGTGGAAATTGATGTGTTATTTGTTCATGAATGTCTGAAAGCTCAAAAGCTTCTTTAGGAAAGGCTTCCTAATCACTGTTTTTAAAACTTTTCTTCTGCTTGTGTCAATTGGTTAAAATAACATTAGTTGGGGCTGGAGTTGTACTCAGTGGTAGAGCACTTGCCTAGCTTGTTGTCTCAGTACTACATAAAAATAAATAAATAAAATACAGGTATGATTTCCATACCGAAAAAAAAAGTATTAAAAAATAACGTTAGTGGAATGACCTAGAGACTTAAATAGATAGTCTGCAAATACATAATAATTGTTATCAGGGTGCAAATCATGACATAATTTTCTAGTGTTGAAGTATCTGGATTGGTTTGATGTGGTGATTTTGTAGCATTTCATTCTGAGTTCTGCCCATGATTTCTTAGACACTAACATATACCCATCCCCCTCCACACCAAATAACCTCTTAAGATATGATTCTATTAATAATTAAGAGGATTTACAGCCTTACACTGTGGTTTCTGCAAAGATACACACAACACTGAACAAGAAAATGTCACTCTTTGGGAAAATGAAGTTACCCACTAGTAGAAATGAATACTCAGGAAATTTGCCTTAGGAAATTATGCATTTAGAGTCAGCACTCCTTAACTCCTCAATGTTTTTATGTTTCTATATTAGCTTATCAAGTTTTTTCTGTAGCAATTTTTATAGAAATCAGTCTATAATTTTCCTTATATTATTACATGAAATATAGTACTTATATTCAAGAAAAACCTCAAAGGGCTAATATCAATATCCATAAAAATCTATGTCTAGGTTTTCTGCTTTTTAAAATGAGATAGCCTAAAATGAATAGAAAGTCAGCTAGGTGGGTAGATCAGTACTAGAGCATGTGCTTAGCATGCTGAGGCCCTGGGTTTTAGCCCAGGCATTAACAAAATAAAACAAAACAAAAATAAAAATGAAATCCAAACAAAACAAATTTACAAACAAAAATAATGGTAAAGGGAAGCTGTTCAGGTTGCAAAAACTGGACAAATCAGGTGATTGTCATGAAGGCTCTATTTTTTCCTTGGAGTTGATTCAAAATTTTTTTCCATAAATCTTGAAGACACTACGAGCAATGACACTAAAGCTTACTGGCTTTATCTTCTTTCTGGATGATCCTTTCCCTTGTCAAGAAAGTATTGTCAATATTGTGGAGGTCATCTTACCTTGACATTGGGCACAGCCCGGAGGTCCTCTTCACTTTCTGTGGTTTGGTAAGTGTTTGTACTATATCTCTCCACCCTGGACAGGGGCAGAAATTGTGGCCACATTGATGGCCTGGAAAAATATTCCTGGAGGCACTCTTGGTTATCTTGGGAAAGCCTGGACATGTTTTGACAGCAAAGGCCCCACATGAATCCTGTAGCCTGGCTGTACCAATACTACTGCAGAATCCTATTTCTCTTCTTTTGGCTCATGCTGGGCTGTCTCTGAGTCCACTGGAATCCTCCCTGGAAAGTTATACTGACCAAAGTAAAAGGATTATGTTTTGTGGATCAGGAGCTTATCCAYAGATCTTACTGTTCTATTCCAGGTAGAGCCTTTTAGTGTGAATGTCCAGGTATGTTATGACTGCCCCTGTAGGTAGGGATGTATTCCTTATTCAAATGTGATTCTAAGTCAAAATGGAAGGAAATGATTTAAGGGATATGCTGGCACCCTGGTCTTGAACTTTCAGCCTCCAGAACTGAGAAAATARACTTCTGTTGTTTATAAGCTACTAGGTCTATGGTACTTTGCTTTAAGTGAAAATGGACTAAGAAAATCATCAATAGATATATTGAGAACACCACCCCCAAGGAAGCTGTTTAGCAGTCTCTATCTGTTCACTGAACCCATCTAAATTTGTTCCATGCCTTTGGGCCTCTCTGAAAGAGGAGTGCTTCACGGAACCCYCATGAAACCTGTGCATCATACCAGTCTGTGGCTGAATAGCAAAGGAGGATGATATACAGATCAGGCCTCATGGCTAGAACATTCCCTGGATTTTATTTGCCATGAAGTAAATGATGTAAACTTAAAACTAGAAAGTGGGAAGGGATCCCAGCAGTATACGAGAGTCTTCTTTCTCTTTTTGCTTAKAATGACTTTCACCCATTCTGTGATTTGCCTGACTTGTCTAGGACTAGTGCAAATGCCAGTCCTTAATGGACCCCTGACCACTCTTCATGGGCAGCAGCAAAGCATTTCTCTTCCAGGCACACAGATTAGTTTTAGATGCATCTGTTATTGTACTGAGTGAAAATATCTGATTATCTCTGTGCTCCTCAACTTGATTCTGAGCAATTCTAAAGAAATTCCAAAGGCAATTGAAATGCCAGTTGGATTTGGGACCCTCAATAAATGCATCTCCAACTAAATGAGAAGGAGAGGGATTAAACATGCTTGCTCTTGCATGTTGTCCCCGTTTATAGGGAGTTTGGTCTCCCTCTGTTGTAAATGACATTGAACAGTACTTTGTTCTGGTGGTATGATTAAGAAGCTTTGTTTGGCTGGTTGTGGTGGCACATACCTGTAATCCCAGATGCTCAGGAGATTGAGGCAGGAGGATCGCAAGTTCAAAGCCAGCCTCAGAAATTTAGTGAGACCTTAAGCAACTCAATGAGAACCTGTCTCAAAATAAAAGGGGTCTGGGGATGTGGCTCAAGTGGTAGCACACTTGCCTGGCATGCTTGGGGCGCTAGGTTCGATCCTGAGCACCACATAAAAATAAGAAAATAAAGGTGTTGTGTCCACTGAAAACTAAAATAATAATAATAAAAAATAAATATTAAAAAATTCTCTTTCTCTCTCTCTCTCTCTGAAAAAAAAAAAAGGGCTGGGGATGTGGATCAGTGGTAAAACGTCCCTGGGTTAAATCCCTAGTACCAAAACAAACAAAAAAATCCCCAAACAAACCACTTTGTTTGTATTGTGTAATTAGTCTGCTGGGGATGCCTTTACAAAATACAGTAGGTTGGGTGGCTTAACCAATAAAAAAGTATTTTCTTATAGTTTTGRAAGTCTGAGATCAGTGTACCCACATGATTGGGTTCTTGTGAGGGCCATCTTTGTGGTTGAAGATGGCTGCTTTCTTGGTATGCCCTGGCATGACCTTTCTGTGGTGCAAATTTGTGGGGAGAGAGATAGATATAGATATAGAGATAAWGACAGAGATAGAGAGATAGAGATAGAGAAGAGACAGACAATTTTTCTCACTTTCTTTTATGAGGGCACAAATCCTAACATTGAGGCCTCAGGTCTGTGGTACTTAGCTTAAGTGCAAATGGACTAAGACCTTATCTAACCTTAATTACCTC